AAAAAGAAGAAAAAAGAAAAAAAAGGGAAAGGGAGAAAGGGGGTTCCCAAAGGGAATAGGAAAAGGAAAAAAAAGAAGAAAAAAGAGAGAGAAAAAAGAGAAAAAGGAAAGGGAAAGGGAAAGGAAAAAGGGGAAAAAAAAAAAAGGAAAAGGGAGGATTAAAAAAAAAAAAAGAGAAAAGGAAAAAAAAGAAAGTAGGGGGGAAAAAGGGGAAAGAAGAGAGAAAAAAAAAAAAAGGGAAAGAAAAAGGGAGAAAAAAAGAGAAGGAATTTAGGGAAGAAAAAAGGAGAAAAAAAAGGGGGAAAAAAAAGAAGAAGAAGAAAAAAAAAAGAAAAGGAAAAAAGAGGAAAAAAAAAAAGAGAAAAAAAAGGAAAAAAGAGGAAAAAAAAAAAGGGGGGGGAGGGGAATTAAGGGAAAAAAGAAAGAGGAAAAAAAAGGGAGGGTAAGAGAAAAAAAAAAGGGGGGAAGAGAGAAAAAAGGAAAGGGGAAAGGGAAAAAAAAGAAAAGGGGGAAAAGGAAGAAAAGAAAGAGAATTTAAACCGGGGAAAAGGGGAAAAAAAAAAAGGGGAAAGGGTTGAAAAAAAAGAAAAGGGGAAAGGAGGGGGGGGAAAGAAAAAGGAAAAAGAGGAGAGAAGAAAAGAAAAAAAAAGAAAGAAAAGAGGAAAAGATGAAAAAAAGAAAGAGGGGGAAAGGAGAAGAGAAAAAAGGAGGGGGGCCGGGGAAATTCCCCCCCATAAGGGGGCCCAAAAAATTTCATCTTAAAAAGGAAACAAAATCCCGGTACCCCTTTCCAAATTTTTTTCCCGCAAAAGGGGTTACAGGGCCCCAACCAACCGGTTTAGAAGCCCGGGGGGGTCCCCCCAACCCTTTGTTTAAAAAAAAAACCCTTTTTAAAAAAAAGGGGGGTGAAAAAAAATTTTTCCTCCCTCCCTTGTTTTTTCGGACCAAAAAACTTTGTTATTTTTTTTTCCCGTCGCCCAGTCTTTTGAAGGCCACAAGCTGTTCACACTTAAACACTTAAAAATTAAAAACTTTTTCGGGTTCGGGTTTCCCCCAAATTTCCTTGTTTTTAAATTTTTGGACCTAAAAGAGAAAGCAATAAAAAAAGGGCAGTTAAAAAAGAAAGGGGAAAAAAATTAAAAAGGAAAAACCTCCCCCATTTTTTTAACCCCAAGGGGGGGGGGGAGTAATAAAAAAATTTACTTACACCCATTCTGAAAAACAATTTTAAACCAAACTCCCAAAACAAAAAAGGGGGAAAAAGGAGGGGAAAAAAGGGGGGAATTTTGGTTTTTGTAAAAAAAGGGAAACAAATAAAAATTTTTTTTCCTTATTTTTTAACAACAATATAGCGAAATACTTTGGCCCCAGGCCCAAAAGTTTGGGAAAAAATAAAAAAATTTAAAAAAAACAAAAAAATTTAAAAAAAAAAAATTTAAAGGGGGGGCATTTTTCCCAAACGCGGAAAATTTCGAAAAAGGTCTATATCTTGGAATCCCGGGAAATTTTTTTTTTTAAAAAACACCCGAAAAAAAATTTTTTTTTTAAAAAAAAAATTTTTTTTTTTTTAATATTTGGCGACATAGAATGACAGTTTCAGAGAGGGGCCTGAAACAGTCAAAGGGTTAAATCTCTCAAACCAACCTTTGCTGGCCTTAAATTCACTCACATCATCACTAGTTGCAGGCATTTTTTTAATTAAATCCTGATGCAACTTCCTAGCCTTTTCACTTATGATCACTTGAGAGATGCTATCTCCTGCTATCTGTTTTTCATTTAATCCACACCAATAAGAGTCTCTCAACATCTTCCATCACTTGCGATTTCTGTTTCGAAAAACACAGTTGAACCTTTGGCAAGAACAGCTTCCTTGATTGCCTTTTTGTTGCCCACAATAGTAGCGATGGTTGACTGGGGTTTATTATACAACCTGGCCAGCTCAGAGACACGCACTCCACTTTCATACTTATCAATGATCTCTTTCTTCATCTCTATAGTAATTCTCACCCTTATTCCTGTAGGGTTGGCACTAGAAGCTTTCTTGGGGCCTATGGTCACTTATTTTGCAGATAAAATCACCAAAAACACTGTAATAATACGAAATGTTCCGATTGTACGCTTGGATGTTACCGCGGAGGCTGGCTGGTAAACAATGCCACCGGCGGAACATGTGAGGCTGGCTAAGGCCGCACATTAGACGCGTCTCGGACGAACAGCGTTGAGCGGGTTTTTTAGCGGTATGGGAGGCAAAATCTTAGCGATAAAATGTATCGGTATGCGGATTTAACGTTATGTAAGGCCAATGGTATGCGGGGGTCCACTGTACTGTATACTGTTAGTTAGCCATGGGAAACCTAGACATTTATTCGTAATCGGTAATCTGTTTCGTTTTTATGGGACAATGTTATATAGTCTAAGTAATTTGTTAAGAAATACATCTATCCAATCATCGATACCATTGGCATTAGAGAATTCTGTAATCCAGTCAACTATACGTACCTAGCTCTGTTGTGAAGATACTTACTGGTGCCTCATCATGTAGGCTAAAAGAGACCTTGTATTCCAGTGGTTGTTTACTAATGTTTGTTAAGAGGAAGGTGGGGTAGTGGCCAGTAGTGCTGTCTGTGATTATCCCTGATTTAAGGGGAGCTAGTATATTAGTCCATATATGGTCAATTATGGTTGCACTTATCTTAGCCTGGTTGGTTTTGTTATAGCTGGTATGAGTAGTGTGTTGTTCATATTGTTGATGAAATTAGTTACTAGCTGGTCATCTGTTAGGCCAAGTTTGAGGACACACAAGTGTTATGAACAAATGAAGCATACATAATGTAGATTTACCCTAGGACAACCTAATAATGTCAATTTATTTTATTTTCACTGGGGACAATATTAATACATATACAAAATTAGGTATGTACAGTATATACATGCCATCAATTAAACAAAAATTATCACATTAGAACAATTAACTACTTATGAACATTTTAATTAGCAATACAAGAAAGCCTTCTCTTCCCTAGTTCCATACTTGCTTGCTAGGTGAGCGAGGACAGGAGGCATACGGAAACATGCCCAATGTGTGCGAGGCAAGAGCATTGCCTATTAGGCCACTTCTTCTAGTACCATATTGGCCTTGGTTTTGAATCTTGACAAAATTTGCAACAAGATATTCTAGACACTGGATGCTAGCAATTTTATATATATGGTCGATTTTCAGTTGATTTACTCTTAAGCATTTCTAGTTGTTATAATCTCTTGGACCCAGGTCCAGGATGAAACTGACCATCTTACTTTGGGTGATTTGTAGTCCTTTTTCATTTTTTTATTTGCAAGAGGAGAGTACTATGAAGAACAAGAATAATCTACATGGAATTGTTTAAGGCCTAGACACAGGGTCCTGCCTGCCTGTCTATGGAAAAACTTCAACCTGGCATTTACTTTATTTACTGCATTGTTCACCACGGTGGCCCACAGCCTGGTAGGTAATGCTCTCGCTTCACACGCTGAGTGTCTATGGTTCGATCCCCAACAAGGGTGGAAACATTGGACACAGCTGGCACTGGACAAGCACCTAAAGTCAGTTCCTGACCAGCCGGGCTGGGGCTCGTACGTTGGTTTGCGTGCAGCAACAGCCTGGTTGATCAGGCTCTGATCCACCAGGAGGCCTGGTCACAGACCGGGCCGCGGGGGCATTGACCCCCGGAACTCTCTCCAGGTAAACTCCAGGTAAACATATCCTCACACTTGTCCCATTCACCTAGCAAGCAGTAGGAACCTGAGTATTAGTTGACTGGTGTGGGTTGCATCCTGGGGAACTAGATTGAGGATCCCAATGGAAATAAGACAGACAGTCCCTCAGTGACACACTGCCTTTCTTAGAATATCCTGGGTAGCTAACTCTCCAGGGTTAAAAATCCAAACAAAATCTTAATTCATATAACATATGAAAAGGTATCTACACATTTCACATAAGTTACTGAGATGAATGAGTTCCTTGTTACACAGAACGGTATATTAAAATTATAAGCCTTATTTCAGTTTATCTTTTGAACCAAATTGTAATCAACTTTTAATAATTAACAGTTTATCTATTAACCATTTACTGCAAGATTCTAGGTCCAGTGATAAAATGTTATATACTATAAAATGTAGCTTTCAGATATTCTAAGCTTAAATGATTACTGAAGAATTGTTGTTCAGTCCCTGGAAAAGTTGAAAATATTGAGCATTTTCTTACACCTACTGCCCCTGTTCACCTAGCAGTGAGTACTAAGGACTAGGTATTAGCCAACTGAGATTGGATTGCATCCTGGGAGACAAGATTAAAGAACTTCAGTGACAATAATAATGCTTTATTTCTTTGAGCATACAGATAATGTAGACACATGGGTAGATACAGGAATAAAATAGTGGGCTCAAAAGCTACTAATTATGCAATGCATATTATTATTATTATTATAATCAAAGGGGAAGCGCTAAACCCGGAGGATTATACAGCGCCTGGGGGGGGATGTGGAAGGCATTCAGGCTTAATTCAGGGAACTGGAGCACAGATCCAATTCCCTAAATCAAGAGCCCCTCACCAACATCAAGGAACCTTCCTTGAGGGGTATGCATTGCATAAAGCAGTCTGATGACAGGGATTTATTGGGTTATTAACCCTGCTGATTAATAAAAATGCATCCACTAAGTCTGTAAAGCATGTCACCTAATTTTATAATACATACATACTATAAGTTCTGAAAATCAATTTAAATTTCATAGTATTTTACCTACATCTGGTCTGGACCTGATATTAGTACGTTACTGTCGTCTGCATATAACACCTTGTGTTTAACACTAAAGGATACGTCATTTACATTGAATAGAAAAAGTAGAGGATACAACTATAAATCCTATAATATCAATATTTATAAACGACACATGAATGAGCAACTCAAACGTGTCACTGACTGACTAAAATAGCAGTGACACTGGCAACCCTAGTTGCTACTCACACATTTTCTCCTCGACGCCATCATTGACAGGGAGAACCGCTTGTATAATAATAATGGTGGAGAGTGTAGCAAGATGCCAGCACATGGTGCAGGTGTGCGTGCCAGTCACATGAGCAGATAACTGCTCACCGTACACCCACCACCCACCTATATCACTTCCTGCTGCCTCATAACACACCAAATACTACTGCGATCCCAGGGAAATATTGCTATAATGACAGGGAAATATTGCTATGTTGACAGGGAAATATTGCTATGTTGACAGGGATACTACTATATTGATAAAGAAATACTGCTATACTGAGAGGGAAATATTGCTGCTCTCACAGGGAAATACTGCTATACTGACAGGAAAATACTGCTATAATGACAAGAAAATGCTGTTATACTGACAGGGAAAAACTAATATATAGACAAAAATACTGCTGATTGCAAAAGAAACTTGCTACGGTGGCAGGGAAAGTGCTATAAGGCAGGGAAATACAGCTATAATAATAATAATAATAATAATAATAATAATAATAATAATAATAATAATAATAATAATAATAATGGCAGTGAACATGAGATAAAAATGTTTATTTCATAAAAAAAACATTCGTAGATGTTCCATTAAATGGATTTACAATTTGTATGGGTAAAGTTTGATTACAGTTTTAGACAAGATAAAATTTCGTTCAGATTTTTAACCCCGGAGGGTTACCCACCCAGGATAACTCAAGAAAGGCAGTGCTTACCTCTATAATCTGTAAAATACCTTTGCCCGAAATGCCTAGCCATGCTAGGTGTTCTAGTGGCCCCCTCTGTAATTATTATTTTACTACATGTAAACCACACAATAACCAAAATCTGTAAACCCTGCTTTGTAATCCTTATAGAGAATAAACTTTTATTTAATTTGATAACTTGTCATGACCTCCTTCCATGGGAGACTTAGGTCTCGAGACACTCCCCAGATAGGGAGCCAAGGCCGGGTCACCACTACTTGGAAAAGACCCGGGCCGGAAGAATACCCGCGAATAAAAAAAAAAAAAAAAAAAAAAAACTACCTCACTGGCAACTACCTGAACACACTGTTCCTAGCTCCGATTAACGCAACAGAAGTTTCCCTTATTATCAACACACTAAAAAACAGGACAAGAGATTTAAATACCCTACCGCCCTTTATATACAAAAAAGCTTCGCTTGAAGTTCCTGAACCTGTATTCCCTGGAACGCAGGCGGAAGAGATACATGATTATATACACCTGGAAAATCCTAGAGGGACTAGTACCGAACTTGCACACGAAAATCGCTATCGCTCACAACGAAAGCAAAAGACATGGCAGACGCTGGAACATCCCCCAGGGAAAAGCAGGGGTGTCATCAGCACGTTAAGAGACAATACAGTAAGTGCCAGGGGCCCGAGACTGTTCAATTGCCTCCCAGCATACATAAGGGGAATTACCAATAGACCCCTGGCTGTCTTCAAGCTGGCACTGGACAAGCACCTAAAGTCGGTACCTGACCAGCCGGGCTGTGGCTCGTGCGTTGGATTGCGTGCAGCCAGCAGTAACAGTCTGGTTGATCAGGCTCTGATCCACCAGGAGGCCTGGTCACAGACCGGGCCGCGGGGGCGTTGACCCCCGGAACTCTCTCCAGGTAAACGTGCAGTCACCAATCATTGCAACACTATTAAGTTAATTTTAAGCCTGCCCATAATGCTCTGCATACAAGGGGATTTTGGCATGTACACTAAACCACTGTATTTCTTTTGTACAACTATGTGTCATGTCCAAATAATAATAAATAAATTGTGACCAGAACTACCTGGAGTTCATTACCTTTGTAACTTCCTCAGCTATCAAAACTTTAGGGCCCAGTCCCTGGACCCATTATGTACCTCTGTAATCTTTTGACTACCGCCCACAGGATGGGTATGGTGTGCATAATAAACAAATTAAACTATTGTCATCGAAGACTGTCTGTCTTATTTTCATTGGGGTCCTCAATCTTGTTCCCCAGGATGCGACCCACACCAGTCGACTAACACCCAGGTACCTATTTGCTGCTAGGTGAACAGGACAACAAGTGTAAGGAAACGTGTCGAAATGTTTCTACCCCGCCGGGAATCGAACCCGGGCCCTCCGTGTGTGAAGCGAGAGCTTTGCCAGCCAGGCCAGAAAAACAATGTGAAACATTACCTCTTTAGAATATAAAACACGTTGCTGGGATGGCAGGAAAAAGTGCTAAGGTGTTAAATGTAGCTGCGAAGTTAGGGAAATTGCCATGGTGGCAAATAAACGTCACTGCAGTGGCAGGGAAAATTCTGTGAAAACAGGGAATTTTCACTTCAGTGGCAAGAAAAGTGCTATGGTGGGAAATAAATGTTTCTAGAGTATAATAATAATAATAGTCTGTGACCAGGCCTCATCGTGCATCAAGGCCTGATCAACCAGTCTGTTACTGTTGGCCGCACGCAACCCGACGTACGAACCACAGACACTTTAGATGCTTGTCCAGCGCCTTCTTGAAGACAGGGGTTTATTGGTAATCCCTCTTATGTATGCTGGGAGGCAGCTGAACAGTCTTGGGCCCCTGACACTTATTGTGTTGTCTCTTATCGTGCTAGTGGTGCCCCTGCATTTCTTTTGGGGGGATGTTGCATCATCTGCCAAGTCTTTTGCTTTCATAGGGAGTGATTTTCGTTTGCAAATTTGGTACTAATCCCTCTAGGATTTTCCAAGTGTATATAATCATGTATCTCTCCTGCCTGCGTTCCAGGGAGTACAGGTTGAGGAACTTCAAACTTTCCCAGTAATTTAGGTATTTTATCGCACTTATGTGTGCCGTAAAGGTTCTCAGCAATTTCACCTGCCTTGAAAGGTGCTGTTAGTGTGCAGCAATATTCCAGCCTAGATAGAACAAGCGACCTAAAGAGTGTCATCATGGGCTTGGCATCCATAGTTTGGAAGGTTCTCATTACCCATCCTCTCATTTTTCTAGCCGATGCGATTGATACAATGTACTAGCCACTTCGGTGGCAAAATCTAATCAATGTTGTGGTTTTTGAAAGTGAGATCCTCTGGCATTTTCACTACCAGGTCTTTTACATTAGTTTTTCGCTCTGTTGTGTAGTTGGAATTTGTTTTATACTCCGATATAGTTTTAATTTCCTCACGTTTTCCATATCGGAGTAATTGAAATTTCTGTGGCCCATTTCAAGATTTGGCTGATGTCTGCCTGGAGTCTTGCAGTGTCTTCAATGGAGGAGCCTGTTATGCAAATTCGGGTTCCGTCTGCAAAGGAAGATACAGTGCTATGGCTTACATCCCTGTCTATGTCAGATATGAGGATGAGGAATAGGATGGGAGCGAGTACTGTGCCTTGCGGAACAGAGCTTTTCACCGTAGCTTCCTCAGACTTTACTCTGTTTACTACTACTTTATGTGTTCTATTTGTTTGGAAATTATAGATCCATCTACCAGCTTTTCTTGTTAACCAACAGATATTAGTGCCAGCAACAAAGCCCCCTACATATCATCAATACGGCAACATTTAGCTTTGCAAACATACAGGGTCGAAAGCAATTAACAAGCAACCTTTCATCAGTGGACTGCTCACAGAGTGAAATGCGATATTTGTGGCTTTCACAAAGACCCACATATGGGATCGCTTTGACAACGAAATATGGATACCAGGTTACGACTTATTCAGATCCGACAGAAGAAAACAGGCAACAAGAGGGTGTTGGCCTGTACATCACAGAGTCACTCATTTGCTGGGAATTACTAAACACAACAAATGATGTAGTTGAAGTTTTGGCAGTAAACTCCTACCCCCAAACATCTTGACACCTAAAATGGAGGAATGTAGCAAATAATATTTTAGCAGAGATAACCCCAGGATGCAGCTCAGATGAAAATTCACACACACATGAGCTATTGAATCTCTGCAACAAATTCACCTTAAGCCAACAATTAGTGGAGCCAACAAGACTGGAAAATACACTCGACTTCAACTTCACTAATAATGATGATCCGGTATGAAATATAACAGTATCAAAGACAAAACACTCATATCATAACATAACAGAGATACAGACATGCGTGCAGTTCTCCTGACAAGCATAAGGAGATCAGTTATAAGGGTGCCACACCAGATTCAGCTTTAATAACAAAAACATACAGTGGGATCAAATCAACCATGTCCTAAAAGAAACAAGCTGGAAAGATATCCTAGCAACACGGATCCGAACCTTTGCCTAGAAAGAATTAGCTCCATGGCAATTGAGGTATGCTCAAGGCACATTCCTTTAAGTAAAATGAAGAGAAGATGTAAACTAGAAAGAGAGAGATGCTCCCTATACAGGCGAAGGTGAAGAATCACACAGCTGCTGAAAGGGGTCAGTATAACTGAAATACGAAAAGAGGCACTGGTCACAGAAATAGCAAATAATGAACTTAAGCTTAAGGAATCATACAGGAGACAAGAAACATGGGAAGAACTTAAAAGCCATAAATGAAACCGAAAAAATACTTCTTTTCTTATGCGAAATCTAGGGAAAAAACAACATCCAGTATCGGAGCCCTGTGAACGATATGGGTCTTACACAGATGACAGCAAAGAAATTAGTGAGATACTGAAATCCAGTATGACTCAACTTTTAGTGAGCCATATTCGTGGAACTCCGTTTTCATCAAGAACTGCAAGAAATCCCTTTCATATGCCTTAAGTATTCTATGGAGGGGTAGGACGGACACAAGGGTCATCCCAGTCACTAAAAACAACAGACATAGCTCCACTCTACAAAAGTAGCAGTAAAGCAATTGCAAAGAATTACAGACCGATAGCACTAACGTCCCATATCGTAAAAAATCTTTGAAAGGATTCTAAGAATCAAGGCCACCACCCACTTAAATACCCACTAGTTGCACAACCCAGGGAAGCATGGGTTTTAAGCAGGTCGCTCCCACCTATCCCAACTACTGGACCACTATGACATGGTCTTGGATGCTCTGGAGGAGAAACAAAATGCCGATGTAGTATACACAGACTTAGCGAAAGCCTTCAACAAGTGCGAGCATGGCGTAATAGTACACAAAATGCATGATAAATGAATAACAGGAAAAGTGGATAGACGAATCAATAACTTCCTAACAAATAGAACACAAAAAGTAACTAGTAAACGAAGTCAGGGGAGGCTACAGT